CATGCCTGGCCTTCATTACTATCTTTTGTAATGAGAACAATTAAATTTTGACTTATTGGTCATCTACATTCTCAATTTTTTCATTACTGCATATAAAGAAAATGTTTAATTTTTTTTCTTTTTTTCTGCCCTTTGATCTCAATAAATTTTATATAAGGGAATTACATAGGTCTTTTTTTTCTACTTTTTCATTTCCCACTCCAATAATGTAATAATTAATATTGAAAACTATGCTTGTATAGCTACACAGAAAAAAAAAAAAGAAACAGAATTACAGTATGAAAATACCAGTACCATTATTTCATTTTTTTCTCTATATCATGACCAATTTTGCTATTCATAATGATCACCAATAGATATAATGAAAGTCAATACTTGTATCTTTAGTTTTGAAGATATTGTGTTAATGAAGAAAACAGATTACCTAATTTAGTAAATCTCAAACTTTTGTCACCATGGTGCATTTAAGTGAATAATAAAACTTCAGAGGTCCATCTAACTCTGACTTCTTTCTTATAGAAAGGATATTGTGTGGTGACAAAGACTGAGAAGGAAACAATAATTAAAAAAAAAAAAAGATTACACAGGAACCCGTGATTAACAAAATAGAAGAATAGTGATTCTACAAATATATTCATTATCATAAGAATATAATAAGTGAAATATTATAACCTGCAAGGCACTATGAAAGGCACATTAATTAAAATCATGTCCCTTTGGAAAACTATAGGAATTCCACCTCTCTGGATATTCCTATGCTCAGTGGGGGAGCTTTACAAAGTTACCAATCATTTGTATCAGATATCCAGACTTCTTAACGGAATATTGAATTTGAATACTTACGATATACTCACATCTCACTAAATTAACTAATGAATAATGAATTTTAGAATTTGTTACTTGATTTACTATATTTTCAGTAAGCAACCCCCATTTATGTGTAGAAATTGAAATGTATGGATTTTAAGCACATTTACATCATTTTATAAACACTTAAAAGTACTTTCATGACCCACCAGTGGGCCATGAATGCTACTTTTGATCTACATTGAATTTGTTACGTACTTATCCTTGAAACCTATAATGTATTCCATTTAGTCTTACAGGCATTTTACGTATAAAGACCCTGACCATATTTTACAAATTTCTTATAGTCAGTCCTGATATTTTCTATTTTAAGAATTTCTAGAAAGTTGGTTGGGCACAGTAGCTCATGCATGTGATCCCAGCACTTTGGGAGTTCAAGGCAGGCAGATGGCTTGAGGTCAGGAGTTTTAGACCAGCCTAACCTAATCTCTACTGAAAATACAAAAATTGGCTGGGCATGGCGGCATGCACCTGTAATCCCAGCTACTTGGGAGACCCAGGCACAAGAATCTTGGTTGGGGCGAGCCAAGGTCATGCCACTGCACTCCAGCCTCAGAGACAGAGGGAGACTCCGTCTAAAAAAAAAAAAAAAGAAAACAACAACCACAAAAAGAAATTCTAGAAAGTATTGATCATATAATAGTTGTTTAACATATTCTTCATGTAAAATTTTAACATTATAGGTAAGGATTTCTCCTTTGATTCTCACTTTTTAGACTTTGTTCTATGTGTTGAAATATATAGAAATACACATCTATAGAAAACTAAAAATATTGTATATATTATTTCTTTTTTTACAAATAGCATATTTACAATTATTTATGTAGTATGTTTCTATTTCTCAATAGCATGCAAATATTTATTAGCATATATATAAATAACTTATATCTGCATTTATTTTAACTCAACAATATATCCTGAAGATTAATGTTAACATTATTGATCCCTTCGTAATTTTAAACGGTTGGGTAATATTTCATGGTATGGGCTGGCCAGATGGTAGTAGATTATCAGATTTATTAACATTAGTGTCAATGGACTTGTTGTACAACCCACTCACTGCCAAGTTTGACTGGCTTAATTAATTTATTTTAATTAAAAAAAATTCCAGGGTATGAATCTGCTTGCAGAATTTTGATAGTCATAATCTATTGTTTATCATAAACAAGCTGAAATCAATGTCTTTGAACATTTCTCTTTGTGTAGCTGTGAAATTATTTCTTATGGTTGATTTTCTGAGTTACACAGTCTTCACGTGTCAAAGTTTAATAGACAATGGTAATTTAATAGGAGCAATACAAATACACACTCCCAATAGTAGTTTATGGAGGTGATATTTGTTGAAACAAACTCTTGCCACCACCTGATGATTTTAAACTTTTTTTTTTTTTTTTTTTTACTTTTTGAGTTAGGTGTTTTCTATGTATGTGAGAATATGATTGTAAATAATTTAGGTGTTCTAATCAGTTTAATTTATTTATTGTTTCTTTAACATTCAGTTCTGATACAAACACTAAGCATCCAAGTACATCATGATAACCACCTATTTAAATAAGAGTTTTAGCTGTGCCTCTTTTAGCATTGTGAATACTCATTAGTGAGACCACTTACAAAGAGAATAGCTTTCTCTTTGTGTTCCCATGTTCTATGTTGAACTGCCTTTAAAAAAGGGAAGAAAATAATTTCTTACATAATGACACTATTATATATGTAAATAGTAATAGTATTATAGGAAAGGGGTTTGAATCCAGACCCCAAGAGAGGGCTCTTGGATCTTGCCCAAGAAAGAATTCAGGGTGTATCCGTAGTGAAAAGCAAAAGCAAATTGATTAAGAAAGTACAGTGGTGAAAGGATAGCTATTCCATAGACAGAGTAGAATGTTACCGAAATTAAGAGGAGGAATGCATCCACCCTAGGTACAATGCTTATATATGTATTTTTTTCTATTTATTTATTTATTGGTTTATTTTTGAGGCAGTCTTGCTCTGTCACCCAGGCTGGAGTGCAGTGGCACGACCTCAGCTCACTGCAACCTCTGCCTCCCGGGTTCAAGCAATTCTTCTGCCTCAGCCTTCTGAGTAGCTGGGATTACAGGCATGCGCCGCCATGCCCAGCTAAGTTTTGTATTTTTAGTAAAGATGGTGTTTCACCACATTAGCTAGGCTGGTCTCGAACTCCTGACCTCATGATCCACCTGCCTTGGCCTACCAAAGTGCTGAGATTACAGATGTTAGCCACTGTGCCCAGCCCAAGGTCTGTATATCTATATATAGGATAAAAAAAGACCTGGGGAGATGTGCTCTGCTACAAGGGTTTGTAATAAAGGATTAATTTTCTTAATTACTATATTTTGCAAAAATCAATATTATTAACTTTATGGCAAAATTAGGAATGCCTTTATTCTCCAGATATCAGAATATCTCCCAAGTCTGGGTCTGTTTAGCAAACACTATTAATTTGTTCCCTTAACCACAAATACCTAGAGGCCAGGAATGCCTCACTTCTGCGAATGCATCTCAGCAAGTCTCGGCCTCATTTTCCTAGCCCTCACTCAAGATGGAGTCGCTCTGGTTTAAAGGCCTCTGACAGTAGGACAGATTAAAGTTTGAAAAGATACATATGAAATGATTAACAAACTCATGGTGGCTCAAAGCTATAATCTCAGCGCTTTGGGAGGCCAAAGTGGAAGGATAGTATGAGACCAAAAGCCCCATCTCTACCAAAAAAAAAAAAAAAAAAGCCAGGCATAGTGGGTACACACCTGTAGTCCCAGCTACTTGGAAGGATCAGCTGGGAGGATGCCTTGAGCCCAGGTGTTCAAGGTTACAGTGAGCTATGATGAGCTATGATTGTGCCCCTGCACTTCAGCCTGGGTGACAGTGAGACCCTGTCTAAAAAAAAAAAAAAAAGAAAAAAAGAAAAAGGCCAGGCTCAGTGGCTCATGCCTATAATCCCAGCACTTTGGGAGGCTGAGACGGGTGGATCGCCTGAGGTCAGGAGTTCAAGACCACCTTGGCCAACATGGTGAAACCCCGTCTCTACTAAAAATACAAAAATTAGCTGGGCATGGTGGCAGGTGCCTTTAATCCCATCTACTCCATAGGCTGGGGCAGGAGAATCGAATCCCTTGAACGCTCAAGTCGTATGTTACAGTGAGCTGAGATTGTGCCACTGCACTCCAGCCTGGGCAACAAGAGGGAAAAATAATAATAATCTCTGGAAAGTTAGAATATATAGAGGCGAAATAGATAATGTTTTTTATTTTTACTTTGTACACTTTTATTTATTTAGTGTAAATGTGTTATAATCCTGTTTTAGTTTATTAATTTCAAAACAATAAAGATTATAACTTGAGAAATTACACTTATTCTTGTTTCTTCTTTCTTGTTTCCCATAACTTTCTTACAAATTAGTATATATTCCTATGTTTGAATTACCCATGGCTATCAAATTTGTTCAAGTGATGATGAGCTATTAGTCTTTGTTTTAATATTTTTTGAGTGTTGACAATTTGACAAATTCTTGTAGAATGTACTTGAAAAATCAGCATGTAGTTTCAGAGAAAAAAAAACATACTAGAAACTAAGCAATAGTTTGCTACCCAGCATACTGGAAGCAAAATTCCTTATACGGTTGGTAAGAAGATGAAAATCACTTTGAAAGCAGAGATTTTATTTCTGGTAGAATTTTCACAGAGCTTAGCAGCTGGTGAGTATGTACTGTGAACTAAGTACTAAAGTAGGCACAAAGGAAAATCGTACTTGCCTCTGAGAACTTACAATGCGGTTGGGGATTCACAACACACACGCAACAAAGTCCAATTTAGAAACTCACAGAGAAAATAATAGGGCAAACCTTAGGCTTAACCACCCAAATAGACAATTAAGGCAAGCATAATTTTTCAAAGTAAGTTTCCTCAGGAGGAGCTTTCTGAAGACATAAATTTAAAGTCAGGTTTTGAAGAAAAATACGAATTCGCAGGAAAAATTGGAGAATGTATTCCAGATGAAGATGGAGTTTAACAACTATTTCTTGAATCAATGATTACAATTACATGCAAACATGATGGTCAGAAGAAACCACTAACAGTATTTAAGATCGCTTTCCTTTGTATTCTGTTTCAAAATTATAGTTGAAATCTGGTGAGACAGCTGCCAACATTGCTAGAGAGCTGGCTGAACAGACAAGAAATCACTTGAATGCTGGGGACATCACCTACTCTGTCCGAGCCATGGATCAGCTGGTAGGCCTCCTAGATGTACAGCTTCGGAACTTGACCCCAGGTGGAAAAGATAGTGCTGCACGGAGTTTGAACAAGGTAAGGACCCCAAATATATATGTGTAGATATATACGTATATATATCTTTAAAGTTGTGATAGAATCAGAAAACCTTCACCGCTTAATTTTTCTTTCTATAGAATCTGATCATTGTAAAGAGAATCAACAGTTATTTTCAATTCCCTTGTTATTCCATTATAATAATAGAACTATGTGGTTCTTAATCTAAAGAAATGATAAATGATAATCTCTCTATACATATTTTGAATTTATAATTCTGTTTTCCATGGCAATTATTCTGGTGTGCTAAATTCAGACAGGGTCAATTTAGATAAATGCAATTCCTTTTTTCTTTCAAACTTTTATATTAAGATAATTGGCCAGGCGTGGTGGCTCACGCCTGTGATCCCAGCACTTTGGGAGGCTGAGGCAGGCGGCTCACAAGGCTAGGAGTTAGAGACGAGCCTGGCCAATATGGTGAAACCCCGTCTCAACTAAAAAATATAAAAATTAGCTGGGTGTGGTGGTGCATGCTTGTAGTCCCAGCTACTCCAGTGGCTGAGGCAGGAAAATCACTTACACCTGGGAAGCCGAGGTTGCAGTGAGCCTAGATCGTGCCATTGAACTCCAGCCTGGGCAACAGAGCAAGACCTGATCTCAAAAAAAAAAAAAAGAGAATTAACAATAATACAAATGTCTAATTAATAAGTAGAATTTTAGAATATAACATTATAGAAGAAGATATTACTAATCCATTATAGATGATTTTAAAACTCAGATAATTTACCCTATTTAATACAACTTTTTAAAAACTCTTAAGGCAAGTAATTAAGTTTCATTTCGACTTCCTTTTGATTTTGAAATTACTCAGATTTTGTATCACTAGCATTAAAATGTTAAAAGCTTAAATAGATTCCAGCAAATTTGAATTGTAAGTAAAAAAATTATTTTGTTAACTTCAGAGAGAATGCATTTTATTAATTTTTGTTTATATTTTCATTAATGAAATAGGCATTTATTTACATAAAAATATAAAATATATTTCATATATGTATAAATAATATAATTTGTTTATGTAACAAAATATCACATGGTGAATTAACCCCATGGTAAAACCTATTAGCATAGCTACCTTCAAATGTCATGTGTTCCCTGAATGGCGTTTGTGCAGTAGAGATGTTCAATGATTGAAACTGAATTTTAGGGCCTTGAATATCATGATAGCCTTACTGCTTTAAAAAGAATTTGACATTGCCAGACTAATATTCCTCTATGGAATTCACTAAAAGACCATTTTCCTTTAGAATAAAAAATGACTCTGCAAAGTCGTCTTTTAATGTCTTTAGTATTTAATATGTTTAGTTTTTCTGTGTCTTACTAGGGTAAGAATTTCACTCATCAAAAGGAAAGAAATTTTTAAATAATGATTATTCAACACAGAAAGCCAGGTATTTTGTGGTTTTTTTTTTTTTTTTTTCTGCAATTTCATCTGCAGAAAACAGGTACAGTTTTATTTATTATTAGATATAAATTATTAATTTTTTCCATCCTGAGAATAAAGGAGTTATTTTTGTCACTTATGCCCTTGATAAGATCACAACCAATTGCCTGACAGAATATAATTCATATAATCTGGGCGTGTTGTGATTTTAATGCATTGTTGCCCAGGCTGGCTGGATGCTATTAATGAATATCGCTGCCAGCAATTTTTATCATAATGTATTGGATGTAGTCATTTCTATTAATGTTACATATCCATAACATGACTTGTTATAGCAATACTTTGTATCTTTATTTAAAAATGGTGTTGATGTCTGACAGTATCAGGTAAAGCTGGCAATTAATGTCACTTTCTAACTGGCTACAGCTAATCAGCTTGCCTACTCTGAATATCAAATAACTAAATAATGGGCAAATTTCCATTTGTAAAGTGTTTTAATGCTCTCTTTTGTTACCCATTTGGCTCTTTTCAATTGTTTATATAATGTGGTTTGTCATATGTTAATTTGCATGATGGGGTAAGGAGATGGGAGGGCAAAGGTTATTCACACGCTTGCTGGCTTGCTCTCATTTCCTGTGGTTCCCACTTTCCCTGAAGCAGTTATAACCCATCAGATTTGCAAAGTCAACTCCATACAATCAGTTGTGCTCTGTATTGAAATTCTGGAGGGTTTAGAGTCCTGCAAACTATGATGCAAGTCAGTGATCCAAATGACAGCCCTGGCAATTTACTTGCACTCATTCCTCACTTAATTCTTTAGAGGAGTAACTGCTCTATGCTCATTGAAGGATGCATGAATTAGAGTTGAAGTATAAGCCACACAAAAGGCATCTGGGTAACTGCTTCTTAAAACTGAGTAATTTTCTCCTTCAACAGTCAAGAATACTGAAGAAAAAAAAATAGGAAAGAAGAGGAAAACACACAAATGAATTTATAAAATTTTGGCTCATTTATTTAAACATGGTGGATAAACTGTTCTTAACTATTCATTTTATCGCCAGGAAATGATGTTTGGGATGTAATATGAGTTGTTGCTAACCTTTTGCCCTGAAAGACATCACTCTCTATGCAAACAAACAAACATACAAATAAACAAAGAAAAGTATACTTCTTACCCCACCAAAGTTTCTTCCATTTGTTTTTTGGTCAAAACTGTCAAAAGAAATTCCTCAAGAAATAAAAGCAGTGGTTAATCCGGAGAATAATCACATTATTTTAATCAGTAACTAGTTATCTCTAGGTGTGTACCCCTTAGAATCAAACAGTCCTAATGAATGGGCATTTCTTTTTTCCCGATAAACAGAAGTTTTTACATGTATGAAGAACATATGATTTGTGGTGCACAAATAATATGTTATTAACCATTTATATTTATATAAATGGTTAATAACATATTTATGGTTTATATAACCATTTATATTTATATAAATGGTTAATAACATATTTATGGTTTATATAACCATAAAATTTATATTAACCATTTATATTATCTGTAAACCACAAATAATCTTCTTAGAAAAATGGGTTCCAAACTTCTGACATAATTTTCTTAACTTTATGTCTTTGTCACCCATAAATTCATAACTAACCTAATGTGAAATGAATCACTTCAAATGAATGACGTGTATTGATTTTTACTAATTTCTACTAAATGTATTCAAAGATGTCTTGCTACCATTAACAACTTTATACCATACAGTTTTCACTTAGATTGTCCTGAGAGGATGTTGGCTACTATTTTTCCAGCCATTGCTTACATTTTGCTGCTGCTTAGCTTTCATTTTCTTCTGAAAATTAGTGAATGACAAAATGAGGTGTTTTGTGTAGATGTGTTCTTTTATTTTCCTTGTTTTCTTCTGTCACTAACTTGTTTTTTCTATTCTGTGTTTAATCTGCTGTCTTAATGGATTCAGCTTCAGAAAAGAGAGCGCTCTTGCAGAGCCTATGTCCAGGTACTTTCTGCGTTTTTATAAATGTGTTAAGTTGTTGAATGTCTCTGTTGTGATGGCATGTATGGACATCTGATAGAAAAATGATAATGTAACTTATTGAAATAAAGGAATTTCATGGAGGGGAAGAAGGGTGGGAATAGAAAGGCATGAAAGTGTATACGCTAAAAAGAAATTTAGCAATGCCAATGCTCTGTCAAACGAGGAACACAGACTAAAAAGGAGGTGCAACTTGAGGTGTGAACTTTTTCATCATCACTAAGAGGTGAGTTGGGTATAATCTATAAAATCCCTATCTATAAAATCCCTATTTTTTTTTTCATAGGGGTGGGTATGAAAACATTTCATTTATACATTGGGTCAGCCAATATTTGAGTAGGAAGTCATTCAGAAATGAAACTCAATCAGTCTTATAAGACAACAAATAGTCCAGAATACATGGAATATCATGCTTCTGTTCCTCAGTAGAGCTGTTTATTGACTTAAGGCATGATTGTGACTATCTTACTCTCTTATTGCAAAAACTGTAATCCCAATGTGAATATACTTTGTTTCCACCTGATGTGTTCTAACTTGTAAGCATGTTGTAAATTATAAGCAATAAACCATACCTATGTTTATTAGTTTTGTATGACAAACAACAACCTCAGAAGCAGCTCTCCACTTTTTTGTTTTTTTGTTTTGTTTTGTTCTTTTTATAAGAAATGAAGGAGAGATACAAGGAAGGCAGGAGGAAATATAAAAATGTTTGGCTGTAAACTATATTCTGCATATATACATTTCGCAGCATTTTCAAAGAGGAAGTCCATCTGCATTTAAAGAGAGATACCCTCAATAATGAAATTAATGGGTATGAGATTGACAGTTAAAAATGAAACTTTATGAGTTAATTCACAGGTGAACATAATATCGGGTGTTTACTTCTTTTTAACCGAAACTCTTAAGTTAGGTTGATATAAATAATAAAAATTGATTTGTTTATGTCTTCCTTTCCAGTGATCTTAATATTCATATCTGCTATCCTTCTGGGTAGTATAAAATTGAGAATTGGATTTACAATTAGGTAGTGACTTAGCATAAACTCATAGCAAAAGGAACTGGATAGTCTTGGGGAAAACTTAGATTGTGGAAACCACAATACAGTAGACTTTTTAATGAATAGAAATATGCCTGTGTGCCAGCTATAATTATTTGCTTAATTCTAGCTTGCAAATTCTTTTTCTTCTAGCTACCCCATTTGTAAATTTCATATATGAATATCTTCATATCCTCAATAAATATTAGTGAACAAAACAAATATAGTACAGTTCCTATCTGGGATTCTATTGTCTAGGAGAAAATATTGACTAATAAATATTAGTGCACTAACACTTTAGAGGAATGAAAATGCAGTTGAGTAGATTCAGCTTTCTTTAGATATACTCTCGTTCTGGAAATGTATACTGATCACTTTGATTGAATTTGGTGTCTTCCAAGTCTCCTGAGCAACTCAAGAATACATTACAAGTGTTCCCTGTAAGTCAGCTAAATTTGTAGTTGGCTGAATGTGTCTATTATGATTCTGTGTAGTTTCTGTGGGGAAGGAAAGATTTTTCTGACCTATAGCTAGGCTCAGGGCTCAGGTCCCTATCGTAAAAGACAGGTTAACAAGAAAAAAGCATACAAATTTATTTTATATAAGTTTTACGTGAGATAGTAACATTTGGAAATGACCCCAGGAAACAGAAAAACTTGTATTTTTTATGCTTAGGTTTGATAAAGAGTGGACAGTTGTGGGAAAGTGCAACTGGACAAAGGGGAAATGATCTTAATGGTAATACATTGGAGGAACTTAGCAAGGCATTTGTTCAGATTCTTCTAGGCATCTCTGTGTCTTGGGATCCTTTCTTCCAGGTATAGGGAGATGTGAGTTAGGGTGATATAAATGCTAGAAATCAATTTGTTCATTTATGCCTTTCCAGTGATCTGAATATTCACATTCCACTATCCTGGGTAGAAGAGAATCGATAATTGGATATCCCCTAAGGAGAATATTATGACCTGGTTGAGGGGAAGGTTAGAAAATTCTTGCTCAGTTTTTTGACTTGTATAAGGAAAAAAGGGCAGGGGGAAGCTGAGAGTTACCTTCCTGCTTTTGCTGTTTTCTCAAATGCCAGGGTGACATATTTTGAAGTCATGTGTTTTAAATCTCATCAATTTTTATTACTTTAATCTCAGGATTGTTTTGCAGAATGAGCAATTGTAAATGTAAAAACCGGAATGAAAGAAGTATTATTCTGTTCTTGCACATTTCATTCTGAATGTGAAGCCAATAGAATAAGGCTAATAAGGGCATTTTGTGAAAATATTATTTAAAAAGAAAAAGAAAATGTAAACATTTCACAGAGATTAGGAAGATAAACTTTTAATTTGCATTTTATTTTATAAAATAATGAACTTTTGTGTATAAGAAACTGTTCAAGTTTATTTTTCTAAAGTTTGGGGGGAAATTACTTTGGAAGATGTATATAGGTGGGTTTATATACATATATATATATAGACACACACACACACATATATATATATATATATACCTGTATTTATAAATATATATATATGATCTATACTCTCAGTGAGTGCAATAGGTATAGAAATCAAAGTACCCTTTATCACCAAAAGCCAAAGATCATTTTTGAGCTCAGCAACGTTAGGATTGTTTTTGATTGCAATCCATGCTATCCTTTTAATGGGACCTTTGGGATAATTAGTCTTTTGGTATTTAAACCTATGAAATGCATGGTCATTCAAACATGAATCTCTGGTGGAAAATTAATAGCAGTTTATTCAATGGCTGATTTCCTGGGTTATGATTGACTGTGAATAAATGTTTCAACTATCGAGTAAACATCTGATAATACCAAATGCAAACAGAATATTGGTGAATCAGAAATGCTCTGCTCTCTAATACATTGTACTATCTCTGTTCTTCTGGATGTAGATCATTATTCCATGAAATTCCAGAGTGAATAATCCTTTAAACTTTAGTCTATTTGAATTTTAAAGACTTGTTTTACGTTTCCTGTTGTTTATATGTTCAGAGTACATTCAGAGCTATCTATGAAATAGGTGTGAAATATGCTGGAAGTGCTTTATGCATTAAATTTGAAATAAGGTGATTGCTAAGTCATCATAAATTTTTTTAAAAATATGGCCTTTTCATAAGCACAAGCAGTGAATCTTTTAGGGTTGATTTTCGCTGTCTAAATCCATTTAACTTTCAATTACTTAGAGATTCAGTGTCTATTTTATGAATTATCCAGATTTACCTTTTATGTATTCTTACTTTTAACCTTTTGTTTATCTCACAAATGAGAGCACAGTGGAATTTTAACTATTAGTTGTCAACTATGGTAACTGACCTGTAGTTGTACAATTAAAAGTTGGCTGGTGTGATATTTTAAATAATATGTGAATCTCCTAAAAACCATTATGTTTACATCCCAAGAGTTTTAACAAAAACAAAAAAAATGAGTTTAATATACACATTTAAATTTTTTTTCTAATTTTAAATTGCACTAAAATCCTTGTTGACTCTCATAAGCTATAAATTGGTATGTGTCATAGTAAAACATATCACTTCCATATCTTAGACACAGGACATGTGTCTATAGTCCCAGCTACTCGAGAAGCTAGGGCAGAAGGGTTTTTTGAGTCCGGGAGTTCGAATATAGCCTGGGAAACATAGTGAGACCCCTGTCTCTTAAAAAAAAAAAAAAAAAAGAAAGAAAGAAAGAAAAAAGAGAGTTTTAAGTTTTATACTAGAAAAAACAAGTAAGGCTTGTGTTACATATGCATATTAAACAGTTGCTGTGATTTAATATTACCAGAGGGGCCTTTTAGATGAAGCTGAGATAGTATACTGGTCCAAAGTCACAAAAATGACACAGATGGTACAATTGCTTCTCTCCTGACATATATCCTGTGCTGCTTCAACACCATGATTAAGAGTAACAATGATTTGTTATTAAGAATAAATTTATTTCCTGTAATCCCAGTACTTTGGAAGGGTGGGCAGATCACTTGAGACCAGGAGTTTGAGACCACCCTGGCCAAGGTGGTGAAACTTTCTCTCTACTAAAACTACAAAAATTAGCTTGGCATGTTGGTGCATGCCTGTAATCCCAGCTATTCAGGAGGCTGAGGCAGGAAAATCACTTGAACCTGGGAGGCAGAGGTTGCAGCAAGCTGAGATTGTGCCACTGTCCTCCAGCCTGGGCAACAGAGTGAGACTCCATCTCCAAAAATAAAAATTAAATAAATTTATTTATTGGGCATTAATTATGTGCCATTATTATGAAGAACAATTAGCATACATTCTCATTTAATATTTGTAACAACCATATGATATAATTATTGCAATTTTTAACTTACAGATGAAAAAATGGAAGTGCAGGGAGAGTTAAATGATTTTCACAAGATCACACAATAATAATTGAGGGTCCCCTAAATTCAAAGCTAAGTCTTTCTAATTCAGATGCTTGTGCTCCTAATCACTGAGTTACTCTTATTAATAGGACTGACTTCATCTCTTGCTGATAGGAGGCAAGATAAATCATTACTTCTATGTTGATTGGTTGTTTGCACTGTATTTCAGGGAGAGAATGCAGTAAAACAGTTTTTTTCCAACCTCTTTTTTGAGACAGAAGTAAAATAGCGATGTGGTAATTATTTTATGCTGCCATATTAAAGTCATATCCAAGTATAATTTGCTTTGAGGTCTTTTTATTTTAAGAGGAGACTCTGATGAAAATGTTATCATCTTAAGAGAATAAAAAAACAGCAGAAAGATATAATAACTATGTTAAAGAAGGAATTGTTTTCCAGTGACTGTACCATTTCCCACCAGCAGTGTATGAGGATTTCAGCACCAACACTTGTTATTTTCTGTCTTTCTTACTATAGCCATGCTAGTGTGTGTGAATTGCAAAAGTTCTTGACTCTAGCCATGGGGTGGGGGCAGAGGA